GATGTGACGTTTATCGTCATCCCGTATTTTTTGGTAGATTTTGGACCTGACAAGAATGCTACATACGAATGCGTTTAACATGAAACAACCTACAGTTTGGGGCAAAAAAATGTCAAATATGTTAGGTGATAAACAGTATAAACAATCCTTCGATTTATGGCCTAAAAATAACACCATATTAACCATACCTTTTTATATGATAAAGATGGCGGAGTAGCATAGCAGGTTCAGCGTTCTAGGTTCGAGTCCAATCCTTGTATAACGTGGGAAGTTAATTCTTCGTGCCCACGTAGAAACATTGCTGGAATATAACTAAACCTGGCGCAAAAACATTAACTGCATTGTCACACACTCTCGCTATTGGAAAAAAAAGATTGAACTTGTTGCTATTTGATCCAATCCATTCATGGCTACAATTCGTGAGGCCCATAATTTGTGTCTCTAGTCTAGATTTTTCTGGAATGTTGCTAAACGCGGCTTAAAATAATCATTCTCACGGTTGGTAAAGATATGTAAAACATCTCTAATGTACTAATGTGATGAAAAATAATAAAAACAAGAAGAAGAAGAAGAAAAGAAGCAACAACAACCTAATATATTTTCGATCACTGTTATAGAATTTTTTTCTTTGAAGTGCGAAGCCGAATACTTATACGTTTGTGTACAGCGAACAATATTTAGTTGATTGTTTAACATGTCTCGAAATTTCAACTTCCAATGGGCCTATTTCCGTTATAATGGTACCTAAGTAATTTGAAACGAGTTTACACAACTACGTTACATACAGTGTATTAGATTCAATAGATCATACGGCTGAATGAATGTCCTATCTCGCCTTTGTACAATCAACCCATTGTTACGCTACCAATTGTATACTGATTGCAGTCATCGGGGCTTCATTCGTCATTGGCATGTCCTTAATCCACAACTACAATCTTCTTAACCTGCACACGTTAAACAATTACCCGGGATTAAACATGGCCATGCGTTTATTTAGTACATGTATATATGGTTTACTCGCACTTTGCCAGCAGGCTGGGGAGATTAACTTGTACGGTCCAGTGACTTGCCAGCTATAGCCTGTTCTGATTATCTGAGCTACTTGATGACTTAGCTGTGACCAGATGTGAGCCAAACTTAACTAATGAAGTTAACTGTGTTCAGCTTAACAGATATGGCTAAATTATTTGATGTGAACATAAATCACTGATTACTTTACTTTTCCAAACAGACAAATTGAGTGAGTTTGAAATAACGGGTATATACACTGTATATATATATATATATATGGAGGTGTCATTTGAGAATTTATTGCAAAATGGCAAATGCACAGGTAAACGTTAAGTTCATCCCTAATTCGCGAGATTTACAGAGTTTAGTGTATGGTGGACATAAGTTCAGAGTCAAGACAAGAAGACGAGACACAGTGCACTGGAGGTGTTGAAAGGCTGGATGTCCTGGACCCATCAACACTGCCAACAATCTCATCACCACCTACAGGAATATCCATAACCATCTTCCCGATGAAGCCAAGTTGAAAGTCGACGTCTTCCTTGCCTCCATGATTGATACAGTTCAAGTTGACCCTAGGCCGGTGCCTAGTATCTATCTAGTATCGATTTGGCTTACAAGCAGACTTCCACAGCAACCCAAGTGTCAACCAGTTAATCCGCCGTAGCTCTACCTCTTCTACGTCTGTGCCACAATGAGGACTTTTGGTTGAATGCCATAGAAGACATTGATATGGACTTACCTGGAGTTTGAAACTTTGCTGATTATGTCACTGAGCAGTGGGTAGAGGGTGGTGAAAGACGCATGTGGAACCACCATGATACCATCGGCCCCAGAACAACTAACCAGGTCGAGGGAAGGCATTCCAAGATGTCGAAGCTCGCTGCCTGCCACCCGAACGTATACAAGTTCATCAACATGATCAAGAATGAACAAAACTATACAGAAGTGACAATCACGCAGTTACATAACGGTGGCACACTGAGACCAAGGAAGAAGAAGTACCGCCAGCTGGAAGACAAACTTGACAGAGAGAGGAGACTGTTCGCAGCTGGTGTTAAATTTCCCATCGAGTATGGTGATGCTGTATCTCACCTTGTCGGACTCTAAGTGATTTTGCTGTAGCCAAACATAAATTTTGCAAGCTATATTGTATTAGATTGTCTTGAAAATTTGTATATCTGAACATGAATGGAATTTTTCATTAAAATTAATAAAAACCTATACTACTACATACATTTTTGTGTTATATCTACCTAGATAGGCTGTAGTCTGGCTATAGTCAGTCTGTGAAAGTGAAACAGTCTATAGTGTTAATCCCCATTGTTGTAGGGATTATCACGGGCTACTGATTTTTAAACTAGAACAATGATGTGTAACTTCACGAAGTTACATAAGACTCGTACTGAGGGTCGCGACTAGGAGGGAACACCCCCAGTGACCGTGTACGCCACTTCATTGGAAAAGCTGCTGTATCTTCTCTCTAACACCAAGTGGAAGTTTCAGTTCGCCAATCGGTACAGTAGTTTAGTGTTTTTTATATCAATTCATATTACACATTATTGTGAATCGTGTAATATGAAATATATTCACGAAATCAGGCGTTTTATTACTTATTTTTGGTTTACGGATCCGCCGACCCTACATAGGTAATGTAACGACAACCAGTTAAGAGATATATAGTACATATATTGCTGCACCAAGCAACGTGTGGCTTTGTTGCCATGAACACGTTTTAAAACATTTTACCTTTGAAATATGTTGTTTTCATGCTACCGATGCCAAAACAAGGCTTGATCAGCATGGCTATCAAGATAGACACAATTTTTATGGATAACAACTTCTATAATACTTGGAAAAGCTTTTTTCCCAGTATTGAAGAAGTTGTTATTGTGTCTATCTTGTCATCCGTCAACTTCTAATTGATGCCTATCAAACAATTTCAGCATGGATATGTTTGAAAGATTATGTGGTCATGGCGCAGTACTACAAGATATCAGAGTATCATGTAAGTTAGTATATATACACTTGAGTTAGTGCGTTCGGTTTAACACCGCCTTGAACAGTCTTCCAGTTATATCACAGCGCGTCAGCTAAATGTGGGAGGAAAGCCCGAAGTGATGCAGGTCTCAGACGTTAACTACTTTGATGAAACCCACGAGCACGGGTATCGTGCTGACAAACCTAGAAACATAACCGGGGCGAACCGGGATTAGAACCTACGATCACAGGTTTCTGGTGTGCCCAAGGGACGCTACTCTGCACAGCGAAATGCGGTGCTTTAGATGACTTGGCACCCATGTCCCCCAAATATACACTAAATGCGTTATCGACTTTAGTTATGTGTAGTAAACTGTATTTACATTTTATATAACTGCAGCATAGGAAAAAACGCAAATGTTCATAAATATGTAATCTGAAAAACAACATACTTTGTTCAAAGGGTCAACCGATAATATGGATTTTGACAACGCTCCATGCGTCAGGGAGTTTTATATTGAAGGGGTAAAGGGGCGAGGGGGATTTATGGTGTTTATCGAATTCAAGCTTACTAAACTTACTGAAATTGAGGACAGACATTTTCTTTGGTTAATGCATTACAAGTGATTGTTTTCAAGACCAGTCGTGGGTATGGGGTTCGGTATGGTACAAGTGAACATTATATATATATATATATTATGCGTCAAGTGCGTAGCAAGTATCACTTCGACCAAATATAAATCTCTCTTTCTCTCTCAATCCCAGATTCACTTTTATCCCACGGTTTATCATCACGTCAATATTCTTCCTTTGCGACAATGTGGTTGAAAGATTGCGTAACTTCGGCCATTTCTCCCACATAAAGTTAAAACCCGGTTGGGGGTAACTCTGAGATATAGCAACATTAAACGTAAAGATCTCCTCCCTCTCTCTCTCTCTCTCTCTCTCTCTCTCTCTCTCTCTCTCTCTCTCTCTCTCTCTCTCTCCCTCGCTCTCTGTATATATATATAGATTTTAAGATTTCCTTTTTCATCTTTGACGTTCCCTTGTCAATGTCATATTATTTTCAATATGTTGGCCAGTCTTCTCCACCAATCACCCGATGCTGTACCACGCGTACGACACATGTCAAAAGACTGCATGTAATTTTTTCCTCGTCACGTATTCAGTGGTGCTAACTCGATGTCAGGTGACCATGTACTGGCTACAGGTCAGTACTATAAACCAGCAGTCTCAAAGGCAATGGTCCAGAGGATCATCTGCGTTCTCCTGACTGCACTGCTTCCCAGGTAAACGATACATTATTCCTATAGAATTGGAATACACTTACATGTATGACAAGAGGAGGAGAGGTGTACGGTAATGCATGCACGTGTGTGTGTGGCTGCTTGTGCTTGTCCGATTTTATAGTGCTAGCGCACTGAGATTCCATGCAGCCATACACTCCAGTCACCGCGAAAAGCTGCAAAATTGCTGGTGCGGTGTTAGGCGTTAATCACTCTCACTCTGGCGATGTAATGAATAATACTCAAAATTTACCTTTTTTCAGGTTCATCCGTTTTCGAAAAAACAGGTCTTTCATTAATTACCCCTAAACCACATCCCGACGAAATTTTTGTGTCCGACATTACAAGGGTTGATATATCTGGTTCAATGTTCAAGTGTCTTTTTTAAAACCTAGTTTTGAGGCTGTGAAGGAAGGGTGTATTGGTGTGTTAAGTGTGTTAAGGTATCTAGAACAAGACAACATTTTACACAGAGGTGTCCCGTTACCTCATTTTTAAACTCACTTGGCAGCATCCCAGAAAACAACGCCCTCCCAATCTTGGCATGCAAATACACACAGACTCATGATTGGGCATAACGACAAAAGATGCGATGTCACCAACATATCACACGCCTGATGATGACACGTGGATGATATGTGGATTCAAAACATAAGTAGATATTGGACCTTGGAGCCCCTGGAACCTTGTTTGTCGGGACCTTGTTACTCCGAAAATCTGTTTAGTCCGGACATTGCTTTGATTTATACGTTGTTTATTCAACCGGAACCCTTATTAGACTAAAGGGGCTTATTCCGGTAGCTGTTATAATTAAGACTTTCTCACTCGAAACTCGTCCCACGTCGTTCCTTTCGCTTAAAAGAGTAATTACGATGAGTAAGTATTGGTTTACGCTGCGACTGTAAAATATTGTCAGGGCGCACGTTGGCGTTTTAGAAACAAACCTCAAATGTGTATCTGCGATGAATGCAAACTCTCATTTCCGTTCGACTATGTGAAAGCTGACGTAGGAATTCCCTTTGGTAAATACAAATGTATGCATTGACCATCTTAACACATGCATTGACCATCTTAACATTTTAAGTATTCCAAGTAAGATTGGGTGAAGTAAAGTGGGGTTTAACGACGCGTTCAATATTATTGCACTTATCTATCGATGCGCTTGCATGTGTGTGTGTAGCTGCTTGTATATTGGTTCGGACTTACGACGCTTTTTTATAGGCTTGCCCACTGAGATGCCATACCGCAGTTTACCATAGATAAATCACTGCGTACTGACTCCGTGTATATCCGATTAATGCCGAGTTCCAGGCAGGGTAACAAAAAAGAACCACCTTTATCGTCGTTATGGAAGAGGAGGCCATATTTTGCATCATCAGATTGTCGCTCATGTTATCAAACATTGGTTTCATTGAACCAGGATCAGGACGTCGTGATATAGCTGGAATATTGCTGACTGATACGTAAAACATAAACTATTCATTTATATAACTACCTTTTTTCACAGATTTCTGACTGATACGGAAAAATGACGGAGAAAAAGGACAATGAGATGTCCCTGTTGGACAGCCAAGACAATGAGAAGACCAATACCGGCCATCTTGGTTTGTCGGAGGAAGACGACCCAGAGACCCAGTGCGGGATAGGATCGTGCAAGCCACGCGCCTTTCAGGTGTTTGCCAACATTACCGCCTTCACAGGCTTCTACGGCATAACAAGCCTCTTATCGGCAACGTTGTTGACGTACGTCAATTCTCAAATCACGACACTGGAGCGACAGTTTGGCTTTACTAGTTCAGAAACTGGAATAATAATGGCCAGTAACGACATTGGCTATATGCTTATTGTCGTTTTCATTGCCCACTTTGCCCACCGATCTCATATTCCCCGGTTTATGTCTGCAAGTGTCATGCTTTTTGGCATTTCCGGTCTGATATGCTGCTTACCTCACTTCCTGTTTGGAACGGTGCAGTCACCTAATGAGGAATACGTAGTAAGTAATATGACGTCTCAGTCACGAGCATATGACCTGTGTTCGTTAGCTAATGATTCACTGATGAATTTTTGTGAAAAATCAGACTCTCCCGACAAACCGGAAGTGTTATCAAGGAGACCACGTGATCATTCAGCAGCAGCGCTTGGGATCATCGTCATCGGGATGGCTCTACAAGGCGTAGCAAAGGCCCCAAGAAACCCATTCTTGATCACATATGTAGATGGAAATGTGGAAAAGGCAAAAACAGGATATTATATGGGTAATTTATTAATCATACAGAATTACCTTATAATCATTTTTATCTTCAACTGAACTTGGAGTATGTCAAATTTTCGTAGTTTTTTTATTTATATGCTTCCTTCCGAAGGCAATATCACTGACTCAGTGTGTGTCCCTGAGCTAATGGGTCAGGTTTTGAATAATATGAACTTATTAGCTGACATGATAGATAATTTACTGTATTTGTAAAATGGACAAATTGAACTCTATTCTTCCTCTTTTCCTCTTTGGAAACATAATTTGCTGGGTTTCTTTACGGGAGAAAACACAAAAACGTACCACTTATCACTTAAATTTATCATCGACTCTCTTGTATTCAATCTTCCTCTTTCTTCCTGCAGGAATCATAATTAGTGTGACCATCTTCGGACCAGCCCTTGCCTATAGCCTCGGCAGCTACTTCACCAGAATATATGTCACGTTGGAAGGTATGTACGTGGTCACAATCTACTTCTATGAAATACCACAGCAATGTTCACGTTGGAGGGTATGTACATGGCTACAATCTATTACTATCATACCACCACAGCAATGTTCACGTTGGAAGATATGCACAAGGTAACTATCTTGTCATGTCACGTTCACCTTTGTCAAACCTGGGGATTCCGGTACAATACGTCCCATGAAACATATGCTTATCTCAAAAGGCAACAAAAAGGACCCGGTAGTCTAACTGGTTGACTTGATTGTGTGTGATTAAACGAAGATAGTATGGTTCTGGTTTTGTTTTCTTGTTAAACACCAAACTATAACCGGATGGATTATTTGTTATACACATTCGCGAATAACGTATGTCTGCCGGTCTTGACACAATGGCTTTTTCAGACACAGACCTGTACCCCCGTCACCCTCGCTGGATCGGCGCTTGGTGGCTGGGCTACCTCGTGTTCGGGTCTGCAGCCGTTATCATGAGCGTGCCTCTCTTCTTCTTCCCGCGCAGATTGAAGAATGCTCCGCCCAGTGATGTCCTGGACGATCTAAAGAAGAAGAAAAAGGAACTGAATAACCTCACAGCCAAACTTATTTTGGAGGCGAAAGGTGAGGCATGGGCCATTTGATATTTAGGTGATGGTGACGGTTTTTTCGGATCATGTTAGTTTTTTTCTTCTTTTTAGGGGCTGAGATTTCTTTCTTCTGAAAAGAGAGCTGAGATATTTTTTACGGCACATTTAAAATTCAACCTATGGACAGAAAATTTTAAAAAAATTCACTGTTCACTAAAACATAATAACTGTACATATGCAGGTGATTTTGAAACAGAACAATGAAAATAGCAGTATAATAAAGCATTTTTTCAAATAATGAATAAAAGACCATTTTTTACAACACCTTGTGTAGCAAAACCCAGTCAACTTGACATGTTTGTACTCACATCTACTGGAGGAATGTACTTTTCAATTACTAGGTGTGAGTGAGTGAGTATGGTTTTACGCTGCTTTTAGCAATATTCCAGCAACACCATGGCAGGGGACACCAGAAATGGGCTTCACCCATGTTGGGAATCGAACCCAGGTCTTCGGCGTGACGTGTGAATGCTTTAACCACTAGGCTACCTGACCACCCCTCAATAACTAAGATGATGTGGATGACTGACGTAAGTGGCATAAGTTTTGATGTAAACTGACGAAAAGAGCAACCACACCAAACCGAGAGTTTGACACATTGGGTTCAAACCACGAATCGTGTTACAAAAGGGTTGAGAATCAATCTCCCTAACACAACCACAACAGTTTGCTGAGTAATACACATGCAACATTACCCAGATCAGTGGAACTTGAGTTTGAAGTGAAACTTTTGCTGCAGTTGTAGCATACCAGCCAATAAAGATAGGGATATCAAAGGAACGATGTACTGTTCATTCACACCCAAACCATTGGACAGTGACAAATAACATGGTACTGAAAGAACAAGCCATTGGAATGATACTTGAAATTTCCAAATACACAGTAAAATGCATTTGCAAACACAAAGATAAGTTAGTTTTTGCTTCAGATTGGTCAGAATTAGGACACACTCACTTACATTACAAAATAGAAACAGGCGACACCAGACCCATTAGACTCTTTTTTTCATAGGCAAAACGCACCCATTAGGAAAGAATGTTCCAGACTGGTGCAAGAAATGTTTGACGCCAATATCATTCAGCCCAGTTCTTCTGAATGGCACTCTCCTATTGTCATGGTTAAAAAATGTGATAGTTCTTATCGCTTTGCCGTAGATTATAGACGCCTCAATGTAGTTACCAAACCTATATATTTTGCTCTACCACCTCTGCCAATATTTGTAGTGTGCTTGATTTGTTGCTAGTGGCTCTTGTCAAATACCACTCCATCCAGATGCAAAACACAAGTCGGCCTAAATTACACCCCATGGTGTTCTTGGGTGGAATCGCCTCCCTTTTTGGCCTCAAAAATGCTCCTATGGCATTTCTGCAAACGATTTCAGAGGAAATTACATACTAATGTAGTAGATGACATAATATTTTCTAAAACACTTTTGGGACGTTTGAGTCACATCAAGGCAGTATTCCAAAAGATTAAATAAGCAGGACTCACTCTAAAACCAAGAAAATGTTAAGTTGCAACAAAACATGTCACCAACTTATGGCATATACTTGATCGATGGCACTTGTCGATATACTTCAAAAATAGATTCCGTCACACAGATCCCACCCTCTAAAGTGTCCTTGACGTGTGTCATTTCTTAGATTTGGTCTCACATTATCACAAATTTGTAGCAAACCTTTATGACATCGCCTTACCTCTTTAAAACCATCTGAAAAACTTCTGTCTTGCGAATGGTCAAGCAAAATGCCAACAGGCAATCGAAAGTCATGACCTTACAACAGCCCCCACGTTTGCATATCCCGACAAAAACAAACCCTTCATCCTCACAACTGATGCATCTCAAACTGCAATTGGGTACATTTAGGCCAACTTGATTCTGGTGACATAACTTGGAATGATGTTGTCAATTCATGTCTTTTGACCACACAAGTATCTTCCTGTATTGTTTTAAGGAACAAACAATGTTGATTGGAAACGTTTCCTTTGCTCATCAGTTTCCATGTAAGGGTATATTATGTTTAGTGGTCATTTCCTATCACAGTCAACAACTGTTATGGCTTCTTGAAATGGAAGTTTGAAATGATTATTAATAATTTAGTAAATAAGGGTTACTGGCATACTGTATCTCTGTCAAAGATGATGGCTTTGCACACGAAATATTCTCTATTGATGAGGATGGCCATGTTGTGGTCGAGACTATCTATTGAGACTGACTTTAGTTTTTTAAGCAGTTAGAAAACAGTGGGGGCTGTTTTAATGTCTAAGCCAAACATATATTTTGTGGTTGACTCTCCATGATCAGTAAATGCTACTGAGTCTATAGTCCACAAGCAGACACATCGACATGGATAAAAAAATATAAAACAGCGCCAGAGAATAACCAGTCCAGAATATCCGTCGAAACAGTTTCCACTGTGCGTAAAAATAAAAATAGCAGTGAAAATAATATGAAAGGATGACTGAAAATCAGTGATGAAACCAGATGTTCATGAAAGGGGTAAGCAGATCCTACCACCGGTAGCACCCACCACTTACACACTTGTGCCTCCTATACTGTGACAGCAGCCTGAAAAAAACAGACATTCAAGTGAAACACCAGAACATGAAGTGACACGATAGCGGACCGACTGTAGAACAATTGCACGTCATTATACAACTTCAATATTGTTGAATGCAACGTGAACGAACTCACTAACCAGGCATAGTTTAAGCTCTGACAAAGGGCACTTGCAAACAGGTTGGACTACATTATAGTTTTAACGAAAGAAACTCGACAGAGGGTCTCCCAAAAGGTCCAAGGGTTTAGTAATGAAAAAACGCGTTGTTCTGAGGGTCATGTTCTATAATGGGCAGATATTCAATTGTTTAAAAAAATTATTAACGCCAGAGAATAACCTTGATAATCCAACAAAACAGATTTCAATGGGCTTAAATGCAAAATAGCTTTGAAAAGTATGTGAATTGTTGACCAATAACAGTGATGAGACCAGGTTATTGCAAGAAATGCTGGAAACAAACTACATTTTGAAGCGTATCAATAACATTGCATTTGGCCACAACATCCGACCTTCGTTCTGAAACCTTCTCCAACAGTGTCTGGTTTTCTATTCTCAGATTACATAAAGGTGTTGGTGGGTATCTTGACCAATCCTCTCTACGCCACGCTGGTTCTGGCCAGTGTGTGTCATCTGTTCTCTGTTGGGGGAGCGCACGCCTTTATGCCCAAGTACATGGAGAACCAGTTCGGTCTTGCGGCATGGAAAGCCAACCTTCTCATGGGTAACGTATTCAGATAGACCACTTTTATTTCTTAGTTTTAAAGGGGGCACGGGTGGCCCAGTCGTCTAAGGCGCCGCGATTCGCTGTGCAGAGATGCATCCCTTGGGCATGCCAGAAACCTATGATTGTGGGTTCGAATCCCGGTTCGCCCCGATTATGTTTCTAGGTTTGTCAGCACCATACCCGTGCTCGTGGGTTTCACCGAAGTTGTAAATGTCTGAGACCTGCATCACTTCGGGCTTTCCTCCCACATTAAGCTGACACGCCGGGATATAACTGGAATACTGTTAAAAGCGGCGTTAAACCAAACTCACTCACTCACTCTTAGTTTTAAAAACTTAGTTTCGTCTGTGACGAGATGCAGGAGATAACTGAATTGGCTTAAGGTCAGATGAAAAGGGGTTTGACGTCGCCTTCAAGATTATTGCACTTATATCGCGACGTGCATGGTGTGTGTATGAACGTGTGTGCGTGTGGCTGCTTGTACTATTCCAGACTAAAGACAGTTTTGCGGTGTTTGTCCACTAAGATACCATGCCACAGTTTAACAAGAATACCCCGCTCAGACAGAGTATACTGACTCCGAGCCGGCCAATCCTTGTTTTAGCCCCTAAATGCTGAGCACCAGGCAGGGTAACAACAATAACTAGCTTTTAACATAGTTTCGAATGACCTGATCCTCCACTCTCCGGGAGATGAACTTTTCGCCAATATTCTGAATCAAAGAGGATTAACTGTCTTTGATGCAAGTTCATCATTTGCTCAATCTCATTAAAATCAGATCTTAGTTCTCGCTATCGCTAAACAAAGATCTGAGGACATCCCATTACGGGTCACGTCAGAACGACCTTTCATCCAACCAATCAGAGCGTCGCTTACCAGATCATGAAAGTGACAGTCGAAATGTGTTTTCTAATCATGCAACCACAATATATTTAACACGGGGTATTCAGAACGACAGTTGCCAGTTTGAAACTAGTGTCGTAAAGCTCGAGAAAGCTGCCATCTGATTGGCCAATGTCGATTTCTTGTCAGTCATTTCATTGGTCGGTCAAAAATCGCGTAAGGTCGTTCTGACGTGACCCGTCATGGGATGTCCTCAGATCTTTGTTTATCGGTAGCGAAAACTAAGATCTGATTTTAATGAGATTGTCATTTGCTAATTATATATTAAAAATATATACATGTATTCGTATTAAAGTAGATGTGGATGTGGTTTAGGCACGTTCCACTGTTCAGTTTATTTATGATTTATTCATTCCAGCTGGTCTGAGTATGCCGATGGCGTCACTGGGAACGTTTGTCGGTGGTTGGTTAACCAAAAAGTTTAAAATGAGCCCCATAACAGGGCTGAAGTTTGTCAACGTTTTCACATTTGTTGCAATCCTAGTTATGGCCCTTGGATATGTGTTTGGCTGTCCACAACCAAAGATACTGAATCAACCCGGGTATGTGAATTTATTATTTAACGTCATGCTGTGCATTTTCCCTCAAATATGAAAGTTAAAAGTAGTTCCTAGCTAAATGGCTTGAGACCAATTAAAACAGTAAAGCTGTTTTGTATTTTTGAAATAAGATCATGATAAGGTTTTAGATAAGAATACCAAAAACTTATTATCTGGTTACATGGTATGTGAAATTGAACGATATGTACGTGTAGGTCTACATCAATATGTACACACAGTAGGAGTGGGACATATAGTTTTCACTGTAACATTATTGCATGATAAATTGTCTTCGTTCATACCTGGATAAAGTAGTAATTGATTAACATTGCAATCTCTCAGTTCGTAGTAAGTAACCAAGTTAAAACGTTAAATTGTAAATCAAAGCATACGTAATTGTTACACTCCATTGTTCCCCCCCCCCCCCCCCCTAGACAAACACAAACCTCCCCCCCCCCCCCCCCCCCCTGAAAAATGTGGTGGTGTGGGCCAATAAAATTGTTTTGTCTCACACAAAAATCCCATCCCATCCCATCCCCACCCCCACCCCCAGAATTTTAAATGGTTAATCCCTTCATAAATGACACCATTTCACATTACCGTGGCACTTTCCAAATAGGACGATGGTATCATCGACGGCTGACCAAGGCGACTGTGGCAGTTCCACCTGCCACTGCAACGACAACGACTACTTCCCCATCTGTGGCTCCGACAACAACAACTATTACTCACCCTGCCACGCGGGATGCCTTGCCAAGAACGGACCGGTAATAGAAAACACTGGCTATGTTGAATACAAGGAGCAATACCACATACATGTGGGTGTCCAACAGTTACCATATGCATCCAACGGGAATCTAAAATATACTGAGTCAAATTAAAAACTGCACATTTTTCAAAGTAATCCCATATATGATATACAACGGACAAATGTATCAGAGAAGGTAATTTTTAATCATTAATGTCCAAAGAAGGATTTTAATTAACGGTGGTAACCATAATTTGTTCCAAGCACCTACTGTATCCGGTAATAACATCAACAGTTTAAATCATAAGTCCCAAGCACGAGAATCTGATGGCAGACAAGTTCAGTAGCGTGTATGGCCACCATATGCGTTGACAACTGCCACACAACGCCTCCGCATGGACCTTGTGATGCTTGTGAAGACATGATTGGGAAGACGACGCCATTGTTGCTGCAAAATGGTGCCAAGATCTTGCAAATTCTGTTGTTGGTTCTGGAGAGTGCGCAGACTTCTGCCAAGAGCATCCCAGACGTGTTCGATGGGATTGAGGTCGGGAGACCTTGACGGCCAGTCCATGACGTTGACTCCCGCATTGTGAAGGAAATTCCTTGTCACAATTGCTGTGTGGGGTCTGGCATTGTCGTGTTGGAAGATCAAACCGGGTCCATGTGCTGCAATAAAAGGCAGAAGTTCTGGTGCCAGTACCTGGTCGCGGTAAGCAGCAGCTTTGAGGTTGCCACGGATGACAAGAAGCCTGGAACGTGCATTGCCACAGAAAGCACCCCACACCATGACACTTCCGCCTCGAAATCTGTCAACTTCCTGTACACAGCACTGGGCGTAACGTTCATGACGGCGCCTCCACACCCTCGCCCTACCATCAGCAAATCGAAGATTAAATCGGGATTCATCACTGAAGACGACTTGATTCCATTTCCTCTGAGTCCATCGTAAGTGTCGCTGTGCCCACAATTGACGTTGACGTCTGTGTAATTGAGTCAGAATAGGCCCGCAGTATGGCCGTCGTGCTTGAAGGTGAGCAGTTCTCAGACGGTTTCGAACAGTTTGCGCACTCAGTCTACCCCTAAACAGTTCATTTCTGGTTGATGTAGCCGTCAGAAATCGGTTACGGAGGTGACGTAAGACAATCTGACGATCCTCTGCATGTGACGTCACACGTGGTCGACCTGGCCGAGGGCGATCAGCGGTGGTACCCGTTTGCTGTAGACGCGTCTTTAAATCATAAACAGTCCGTCGACTACAACCCATCGTCTTTGCGACTTCAGCTACGGACGTTCCCGTCTGCAACATGCCGATGGCACGTTCACGTTGCACATTTGAAAGGCGTGGCATGACAAATGGCCGTAAAGACTTTTGTTTTTTTGTGTTTTTCTTTTTTTGTTAATGACTGCTAACAAGTATGGCTGAAAACACGTGCGGTATTATGGCCACGTGACCAGTTGCACGTGAAAAACCACTTTTGCCACTATAGTGCTGTGCACATGATTTTGATCGATTCACCTGCACAAAAACTGTTATCTGAAGACAATACGTGGCCATTACTGTTTAAAACACAATAAGGGCCCACAATGATAACTGGTCAAGTTGTTAAAATTTTAGGATTGTGAAGTTTTTAATTTGGTTCAGTATAGTAGAATCAGTTGCTGTTGTTGAAGACGTGTAAGCATTAGGGTATTGCTGATGGGGGTAGCAGTAAGCAGCAGTGGTTTCACTGAAGAGTGGGTGAGGTTTGACACGCTTTTAACAATACTGCAGCATTATCACCGAGTATACCAGGATTTCTTTAAGAATTTAAATATAAAAAATAAAAAATATAAATTAATTCTTCTTACTAGAAAATGCCTTAATTTCAATTACCCGAATCAGAGCGGTAACAGTGCTGGTGCAGGTGTTGGAAGGAGAAGACACAGTTATGCTAAGAGTCGTACTGGTGGTATCAGTTTAACTGTTTAACTTCGCACTCAGCAATATTCCAGCTTTATGACAGCAGTCTGACAATCCAGTGACTGATATCATGAGCATCGACCCACGCAATTGGGGGTACGATGACATGCATCAACCAAGTCAGCGAGCCTGGCCACCGTTAGTTGCCTCTTACGACAAGCATAGTCGCTTTTTTCATCAATCATGGGTTGCTGAAGGCATATTCTACCCCGGGTCTTCACGACTCCAAACTTACTAAAATGCCTTATTTTTTGGAAGTATAATCCATATGGTGGTTTCTATAAGAAGTATTGAATATATACTCCAAAAAGTGACATTTCCCTATTCATAAGAAATCTCTCCTGAGGAGTCTATTCACGATCCTGACTATATCATAAGCATGCGTTTATAAATCACTCTCAAAGAGTGACGATACCAGTTGTTCGAGAAATGGTGAACGTATCCTGCCCAACGGGTGGCACCCGTCAAAAACTGTAAAGTCATTTGTCCAAAGCTGGTAGTTTTGACGGGTCATAAATGAATAAAAGATAATGATCATTCAATAAGGTGAAGCAGAGCGGTAACAGTGCTGGTGCAGGTGTTGGAAGGAGAAGACACAGTTATGAAAAGAGTCGTACTGGTAGTATCAGTTGAGGCAATGTTGGTACAGTAGTTGTCTAGACAGCTGAGACGTTGAACGAGAGTGATGTGGAAACACTGCATCTGTTTCTTCCACAGAGTTATACGAACTGCACGTGCATACCGAACGGTGGTAAGGCGAGCCCGGGTCTCTGTGACTTCGACTGTCCCTTCCTGTATCCCTACGCTGTGACCCTTGCTGTCTCGGCCTTCCTCAGCACTATGCTCATTATGCCTAAGATCATCATAATGATCAGGTGAGATCCCATTTACCTTGTAGTTTCATCGTTTTTGGAAATTTATCTCCACGATTTCCACTTGTGCAAACGCGCATTTGTCAAAAGTTGACGTTGTTGGGAGGAATGTCAAATCGTTTGAGTTCAACATGTTTCTTGTTCTGCATTTTCAATTGTTTACACTTTCCAGTGTTCTATTTTTCATTTCAATTGCACGTGTTTCACATGTGTATATTTTCATTTGATTTCTCTTTCATTGACAAAGTAGACACAATCTATTGATAACAACGTTTTATTATACAGTATTAGCGACGTTTCGGTATATGAACCTAAACCGTTGTCAAGCAAGACTTAATAATGAACCTGGTACAAAATTATCCACGATGAAGCCAATTAAACAGGAAAGCAAGTAGACTAAATAAGTATACATAAGTGGGAAGATTGGAAAAACTATAGCTTAATGAGTTCATAGTCGGCTGATGGAATGAACAGCCGTGATCTCTGTTGATTGATGGCTTGTGGCGGCGAATCTGCACTGCTTTTGCTAGTTTCTTTTAGTGAATATATACTGTCACTGCAAGAGAATAACCAGTCTAGATAATCCGCCGAAACAGATTAAAATTTTGCGTAAAGGTCAAAATAGCTGTGAAAATTATATGAATGGACCACTGAAAATCAGTGATGACACCAGGTGATCACCAAAAAGGTAATCATGGCCTGCCCTACCGGTTGCACCCGCCATTCACACAATTTGTATGAAAAAGGAAGTCGTTATTGGCTGACGCCACTAAGCAGTATCCTTGCCATGCGACGTTAGCCTGTAAACAAACCAGACAATCAAGTGATCAATGAGTGAGTGAGTATGGTGTTATGCCGCTTTTAGCAATACTCCAGCAATATCATGGCGAGGAACACCAGAAATGGGCATCACACATCTACCAATGTCGGGAATTGAACCCGGGTCTTCGGCGTAACGAGTGAACGCTTTAACCACTAAGCTACCCGACCGCTCCCGGAAGTGCTTCATCTCAAGCTGGGGTCAGCAGAGGAAATGTTCTTTTCGGGAGTATAGAGATGATCCCAGTTTTCGTTCTAAAGGGACGGTTGGAGTTGAAGTGGATGTACCGATCGGTGTTGGTAGTCTTTCTGTAGCTATTGGTTTGGATTATGTTGTCTGAGGATCTGAAGACAAGGACATCTAGGAAGGGTATTTCTTTTGTTTCAATGGTGAACTGTACTTGGGAATGTTATTGATTTATATATTGTATGTTTTCTGAAGCAACATATAGTTTGGATGGGTGAAGTTGTGGCTTGTAGATTTCAGCTATCTGTATCTGTTCGTAGTACTCGTCCCCCCACCCCCCAGGTGAAGGTGCCCATCAACCTAATCTCTCTCATGTATGCACATCGTTGTTACTCTTAATCCTTCACTAACTGTCGATAATTTTATACCATGCTCATTATTCAGTCTGGCTTGAAAACCATATAAGGATCTATACTCAAAAGTGGCTATGACAGTAGAATAAAGAAGTTGTTATCCATAGATTGTGTTTTCTTGTCATCCGTCAACTTCTAAGAAATGCTCATCAAACAATTCTCTTTCATTGGTTCTACATTCTACATTTTTTCCAAAGGTTGTACCTTTTCATTTACTTTCCTTTCTTATGGTCAATGTTTTCACTTAACTTTTTCAAAAATAGAATTGTGTGAGGTAGGAAACTACATTTATACGAGGAACCACACAAGGTATTGGGCCAAACTGTTGTGGAGAGAACTCTCGGTGAATAGGAAAAGTCCAAGGTGATGGTCAGCTACCATCAATAACGCGTATGTCCCCCATTGGAATCGATAGCGGCCTGATGTCTCCTGCCCATGGAAGAGACGAGTATGAGAATCACATCCTGGGGAATGGTAGCCCACTCGGCCTGCAACGCTAAAGCCAACTGCTGCTCTGGGGTAGTGGTTGACGTCGGCGTAGCTGTCTATCCAATACATCCCACAGATGCTCTATTGGGTTCAAATCCGGGGATCTGGAGGGCCAGGCGAGATCATCAACGTTGTTGTTGTGTAGACAGGTTCTTGTGATCAGTGCTGTATGCGGTCGAGCGTTGTCATGCTGGAATATAATGTTGCCGTTGGCTGCAATTGGGAGGGCGTGTGGTAGGAGAATTTATTTCGTTGATGTATCGTTGATGTATCGTTGCCCTGGATATGGACAAAACCTGTCCTACCATGATGAGAGATAGCCGCCCACATCATATAGCACCCCCCACCAAACCTGGCCACTTCCTGTAAGGTGTAAGTTTCTCCCCGACGTCTGTAGGCCCGTGCTCCTCCATCCCCTAGACGGGAGGAGAAATCTTGATTCGTTGCTGAACCAGACATCTCTCCATCGCAGTTGAGGCCATACCCTTTGTTGACGTAACCAATCCAGTTGTTGTTGCCGATGTTGTCGACTCAGTATGATGCCTCGAGCAGGACGTCTTGCTCGTAGCCCTGCTGCTCTTAAACGGTTTTGTATGGTCTGGTCAGAGATTCTGCGCAGTCCAGGTATTTGGGATGCGGTTACTCTTGGTCGTCCCGACCATGGCCGATCACGTGTTGAAACCGATCCCATAGCCTTGTCATGGTGCTGGGCGCTACATTGAAAACCCTGGCTACAGCTGATCGGGATTCCCCTGTCTGCCTATGACGTTGTTTCTTTGCACTTCTGTGAATCTTGACATGTTGTTGAACTGTCACTGTTCGGTTGACGCAGATCAAAGGCAATCAAAAATCCCGCACTTTGATACCATTTATAGTCCTGCTGCACGTGCAGTACGTGCAGCTCCATGGCCCTTTTGTTAATGCACTGGGTGCGTTTTTTCGAATCGTACATGTTTCCCGACTAATGGTTTGCATGTCCTTGTTGTGATCATTTTGATCCGGAGAATTTTGTCACTGACACTATAACCAAAAATATGGCCAAAAATATCCGTTTTGCATTCCTTTTTTGAAGAGTATATTTTCATTTTCATGGATTCTACATTTTCAGGAGTGTCACAGAGAAGGAGAAACCGATGGCTGTTGCGTTTTCATCATGTATGACGTCATTGTTTGGTAAGGAATTCAATAGGGTTTGGGGAACTGCATATACTATTTTGTCCAATCCGAAAGATAAATTCGCCTTAAGGAATATCTTAAAATAAGGAGGTAGAGGTATGCAGATTTAAGTGATGATATAGATTATTAAATGTTTGAAATTGTGAGCAAGTCATTACGCCCGTTCAATTATCTGTCCTATGGGTATAGGGGTTTGGGGATTTTTTTTAGTTTAACTTGAGTGTTTGTGTGTGTGTGTGTGTGTGTGTGTGTGTGTGTGTGTGTGTGTGTGTGTGTGTGTGTGTGTGTGTGTGTGTGTGTGTGTGTGTGTGTCTGTGGTGGAGGTGGTGGTGGTTTGGGTGGGGTGAGGGAGGCGGGGAGTGGCCTAGTCGTCTAAGGAGACACAATTCGCTGTGCACGCTCTGGGGCACACCAGAAGCATATGATCGTGGGTTCGAATCCTGGTTCGTCCGCATTATGTTTCTGGATTTGTCGGCACCATATCCGTGCTCTTAGGTTTCACGAGGTAAACGTCTGAGACCTGCATCACCTAAAAGCAGAGTCGATTGTACGATTCCGACTGTATCATGAGCATGTGTTTATGAATCACTATCAAATAGTGATGATACTAGGTGTTCTCGAATAGGTGAGTGTATCCAAACACATGCAAAAGCAAGCCTACTGTTCACCTGAAAAAGACTATGGACAATATATGTCAAAATAGGGAATTGCATCAGATATCATACTTGTCACTGAGGCGTCAAATTTGGCAAAGTGCTCCACTCTTTATGCTGGCCTTAAATGCCTTGATCAAACAATCCTTGATTCTTTGAGTAAGAATCGTATGACGTTCTTCGGAATTTCATAGAAAGAGCATGATAGATTATACCTTGATTGTTGGTCGTCCCAACTCAGTTTTATAACAAATGTCATGTCATCAAATCAAAGTTTGTAGATTACAAAATTACATATACCGATAACTGAAACTAGAAGGACAGTCATTCCCCTTTTTACTTCCTTGATTACATGAACGTGTGTTTCGAAAACAGCATGTCCCAGTTATTGGTCGTGTGTAACGATGTTTTATTTACATATTACTTCAGGTTGGCTTCTTGGACCAATCATATACGGACGCGTCATAGACTCCACCTGCCTCATTTGGGATTCGCCATGTGGTGAAAGAGGAGCATGCGCATTATACGATATCGTCGACTTACGTTTGAAAATCCACGGATTCTACGTAGTATCACGTAGTGTAACCTGCGTCTGTTTGGTCGCCGCACTCTTAATAGCCATTAAGACGAAAAAATTCGAAACTCCCACCCCGACCAAAGAAAAAGAATTGGAAACTCTCAACCCCACCAAAGTAAAAGAAGAGAAAGGGATCCTATGATAAACAAATGGTGAAATATTATTAAAGCCGTCTTTACAAAAGAGTATTACCCGCCTTCAAATAATGTTTAACACAGGACCATTTAGATGGATAATACAATATGTGCATATATACCACCAAATGGTCGCCCTTACAGACCTATCAAGATTGTTAAGTTTCGGTTCTTGCAGGCATTCCAGCTTTCCTATAATTCCTAGAAATTCCTAAATGTTAAACGTCTCCTGTCATTCTTTTAGTTTTATGCCATACTGACTTCCTAGAAATCTGTTCCTCAGATATTGTTTTGCAAAAGGAAAAGCTTGTAATGCGTTCCTATCATTTCTCTGCACTGAACTTTGGTATCCAGCTATATCACCCACATCAAGTTCATCACCCACCGTCTGACATTCATTAAGAAGCAAGATTGGGACTTCAGGAATGATATTGCTCATAAGGGTACTTCCAGTGCAGACAAATGTCAGGAAAGATAGAGCATGTCCGAGGGGCGTTCAATAAGTTTTGCAACTTCAATATAAGACCAAGTCGCAGAATATTGTTTGCACTTTTATTTTTCAATACAATCTCCATTGACCTCAATACACTTATTCCATTTGTCCTTCAAGCTTTTAATACCACTTTTATAGAAATCCGCAGATTAGGCCTCGAACCACGCCTGTGTGGCAGCCTTTATGTCCTCGTCATCCTGGAAGCGTCTTCCACGTACGGCAGATTTCATTTGCCGGAACAGGAAATTGTCACTAGGGACTAAGTCTGGGCTGTAGGGTGGGTGATTTAATTGTACAGCCCAGACTTATTGAAAAATAAAAGTGCAAAAGATATTCTGCGACTTGGTGTTATATTGAAGTTGCAAAACGTATTGAACGTCCCTCGTACATTGACAATTAGGAAACCTGTGTCTGGGTAAGGACAAAGTTCCATTATACAGCTGCATCCTTAGTTTTAAATCAAACTATCCCCTATGTTTCCCCCATGTATTTTTTGGCCTCTATATTTAACCCAGTATTTTAAAGAAAAGTGGCTGGGATGCCTGTTCTCGGAATGGTTTTGATTTTGCGCTTACAAACGTTTTGCTTTTCGTAAAATAAATGAAATCAGAAAAGAATGTATGGTCTTGTTGTTGAGAGGAATAGAATCAAACTGGTTCTGTTCAGTGTTGTTTTAGGCCGATTTTAGCATCATTCCATTCATACCATGGCGAGGGACATGAGCTTCACACATTGTAACCATATGGGGAATAGAACCCGGGTACATCACTTACCCCAAGCGAATAAAACTAGTTTCTCTAAAATTAAAAATACTCCTTCAATTCCTAGCTTAGTCATATAGAGTAATGCTCCTTCATTTGCTGACAGACGGTGTTGTTTAGGATTTACTTTCTTCCGCAAGACTATTTTAAATTTTAATCACATGTCTGAGGGTTTTTTTTCTCAAAAATCCGGTTAATGATTTTTGTTTTTTTTATCTTGCAGTAAGTAATTTTGTATTCTAAACCCTGAGGCAATATTATTTTTTCAAGTATTATCTGGAACAATTAGTTTTGTTAACTAGAATCACCACCACCCATCAATAATCGATCCTTTGTGACTAGATAACGGTGAGGACAGTAACCTAGTTCATATAGATGTGTAAACGCATCACTTGGTGCACGATTTCATCTTTAGGTGTATCCTAGGTATTGAAGTACTTGCATTTGAATGATGTAGACATTAACTAAAAAACAGACACTTTATCCGTATTCTTCTTTATCAGTGTCCATGCATAAACAACAATGAATGAGTGAATGAGTAACTTAGTTTTCAGTCGTAGTTCAGGGGGCCGCGATTCGCTGTGCTCAGTTTCGTCCCTTGGGCACGCCAGAAACTTATGATTGTGGGTTCGAATCACGGTTCGCCCCGATTATGTTTCTAGGTTTGTCAGTACCATACCCGTGGGTTTCACCGAAGTGGTAGACGTCTGAGACCTGCATCACTTCGGGCTTTCCTCCCACATTAAGCTGACACGCCGTGATATAACTGGAACACTGTTAATAGAGGCGTTAAATTTAACTCACTCACTCACTTAGTCGTAGTTCAGTCATATATCAGCTTCATGTGGGATAGAAAACCAATGTGTCGCTTGTCATAGTCGTTCACCACTTTATTGAAGCCCATGAGCACTGTATGGTACTGACCGACCTGGGAACTATGTAGGCTATTCTCGGTCACCTTTAGGGCACCCGTTCCCCTCAATATGCTGATGGCATAACGCATCACTTCTGTTGATATACTACCCAAGGATGGTGTGATCCAATAGTCAACTGGACATAGATCTGGTTCCAATGTGTACATATGGACCCGTGAAGATTCGGGGGAGAATAGCTCTTCAGCAACCCATTCTTGCCGTAAAAGGCAACTATGTTTGTCGTAAGAAGCGACTAACGGGATTGGGTGGTCATGCTTGCTGACTTGGTTGATGCATGTCATCGATCCCAATTGCGTGTATCGATGCTCATGTTATTAATCACTGGATTGTCTGGTCCAGACTCGATTATCTACAGACCACCGTCATATAGCTGGAATACTGCTGAGTGCGACGTTACACAACAAATAAACCAACCAGCCGTGAACTTGTGTCAGAGCGTCTGCCCGGAGAGCGAAAGGTCCGGTGCTCGATCCCCGGCCGCGTCAAAAGGTGGAACTTTATGCTACCCTGCCTGACGCTCGGCATTTAGGGGTTAAAATAAGGACTGGTCGGCTCGGAGTCAGTATACTATGTCATGTTCATTTATAAATCATTCAAAGTAAAACATACAGTATTGTCACAAACATGCGACTCGTGAAGATCCGGGCTAGAATAGATCTTCAGCAACCCATGCTTGCCGTGAAAGGCGACTATGCTTGTCGTAAGAGGTGACTAACGGGATCGGGTGGTCAGGCTCGCTGACTTGGTTGATGCATGTCATCGATCTCAACTGCGTGGATCGATGCTTATGATGTCAATAACTGGATTGTCTGGTCCAGACTCGATTATTTATAGACCGCCGTCATATAGCTGGAATATTGCGTTAAACAACAAACAAGCGAATCACACACACGCATACACACAGAGCTGAGGGATGATTGTGTTAATGCGTTTCGGGTGAGAACAATGTATTTTCCCGGATGCTAACGTGATCTGCATGCAAAACCCTTGAAGGAATGGAGGTTGGCGCGTTATATTAACATAAAATATTAAATGAGGCCACATTAACCATGGGCTATGATTAAATACAGTTAAGTTGCCGTCGTTCCTTTCCCCTTTTGTCGGATAAACAGTCCTGGCCTTGTGTAACGATCGAGGTGATTTCCAAATGGAAACGCAAAGATTATTCCAGAAATCGGTTCGTGCAGAACTAAATTGTGAAATCAGTATTTGATCACACAGGACCAATGAATAATCAATACATTATATTGAAATACACAGTTTTAGGTTTACATTTAAAAAATAAATGTGTCTACTATATGTTGTCGGTCCCTAAGTAACAGGCCCAGGAATTTATGTATGTAAACTGCGTTTTTAATCAGTGCTTCAAAACATACAGTTTGACAATACCAGTAAACTATTATTGTTTTGTAGGCATGACACCCACCCACCCACTCAGACATAATATCATAGAGCTACTCAAGTGGCCGGGGTAAAAGGAGCCCGATGATCGCGGGTTTCCCGTCAGTTTACCAATGGCAATTAATGGTAGCTATCTGTGTACACTTGACCGCGGTAGGCACACTTTATGACAATATGACCGCCCAATTCCCACTAGCCGATTTTCATTCATCCATGTATATGTATTTGGCACTGATAGGCACGCATTGTAACCGTCATATTCCCACTAGCCGATGTGCATATGTACTTGACACGGATAGACACGCGTTGTAACCGTCCGATTCCCACTAGCCGATGTGCATATGTACTTGACACTGATAGACACGCGTTGTAACCGTCCGATTCCCACTAGCCGATGTGCATATGTACTTGACACGGATAGACACGCGTTGTAACCGTCCGATTCCCACTAGCTGATGTGCATATGTACTTGACACTGATAGACACGCGTTGTAACCGTCCGATTCCCACTAGCCGATGTGCATGTGTACTTGACACTGATAGACACGCGTTGTAACCGTCCGATTCCCACTAGCCGATGTGCATATGTACTTGACACTGATAGACACGCGTTGTAACCGTCCGATTCCCACTAGCCGATGTGCATATGTACTTGACACTGATAGACACGCGTTGTAACCGTCCGATTCCCACTAGCCGATGTGCATATGTACTTGACACGGATAGGCACGCTTTGTAACCGTCCGATTCCCACTAGCCGATGTGCATATGTACTTGACACGGATAGACACGCGTTGTAACCGTCCGATTCCCACTAGCCGATGTGCAAATGTACTTGACACGGATAGACACGCGTTGTAACCGTCCGATTCCCACTAGCCGATGTGCATACTTATGTACTTGACACGGATAGACACGCGTTGTAACCGTCCGATTCCCACTAGCCGATGTGCATACTTATGTACTTGACACTGATAGACACGCGTTGTAACCGCCCGATTCCCACTAGCCGATGTGCATAATTATGTACTTGACACTGATAGACACGCGTTGTAACCGTCCGATTCCCACTAGCCGATGTGTATATGTACTTGACACTGATAGACACGCGTTGTAACCGTCCGATTCCCACTAGCCGATGTGTATATGTACTTGACACTGATAGACACGCGTTGTAACCGTCCGATTCCCACTAGCCGATGTGCATAATTATGTTGAGACTCCCCACGGTATACAACCAGAGATATAATGATTTTTTATAGAAACGTATTAGTGCCACGATTTTTAAAAATTATCGTCTGCGTAGATGATACTTTCATCTACGTATGTGATATAATTATCGTAGGTATCGTTAATCAGACAGTGATAAAGTTTTGGGAAGTTGCGACCCTAGTTGGATACTAGTTTAAACTGACATTATTTTTTAAATGAAGGTGATTTTTTTATTACTGTTAATTTAAGTAAAATTTTGGGAGCATTTTTGTCGTTTATTTTCATTTCGCCTATTCCGTTCTTCACAATTTACTGAGATCATTCAAACTATCAGTGCTAATATAAAAACACAAACTGCAGAATTGCGCCCTAAGTGCTTCATATGATGGTGACGAGTATTGTTTCGACTCTGCTTTATGCAGTCTGTAAGTCTGTATACTGTGTCTGAGTAGGGTATTCATGTTAAACTGCGACATGGTATATCAGTAGGGTAGCACTATAAATCGGAATCTGTCCTGACTAGAATAAGCAGCAACACACACACACACACACGCACGCACGCACGCACGCACGCACGCACGCATATATATATATATATATATATATATATATATATATATATATATATATATATATATATAATCTTGGACTCGACGTTAAACCCCATTTCACCTTATCACGGTTATACGAAAGTGCGGAGTGTGTCATTTTCAGTAACTTCGACACATTGAAATTGAGATTTACTTTATTTAATGGTCATATAGTACCTTATTATTAATTATGCCTGATGTTATGTATAACAAACCTGGAACTATTGTCGATTACTCGAGAAAATATTGCTACAAATGTTGATAATCGACGACACTTTCTTCAACATAGATTATGATATCAAATGCGTAGATGATCATCAGATGATCATTTTTTTTTAAGAACGTGGTACTAGTACCCTTATACCCGTCCATAATTTATAGATCCAGGTCCAGGGTGGAAAGGAAAGGGGAAACACTTTTGTTCAAAAAATTATATTTATTGTATGTAAAATTTAAAAAATACATACATTTACATTATGTTGATCACATACACATATGCAGCATACTTACACGTTGACATGATCACATTGCCATATTCTTAAATTCAAACGAACACCATAGGCATAGGGGCTATCTCTGCTATACATGTCCTGTTGGAGGCTATATAGGTAGCGGTGTGTGTGTTATAAATAGTTACACGGGGGCATGGTATGCTGTATTAGTTACGTTCTAGGCTATAGAGGTTGCGTCTGGCTATTATGATGGTTGAGTATGTTAAATTAAGTCCTCGTATGCTATACAGGGGTTATAGTATGCTAATTCGTTGTTGTGGTATAAAATATCCTGTAAACTGAAGCTTGGAGAAACATTTATCGTTTTGTATAATATAAAAATCATTACAAAGATCAATATTTTCCATATGTTATTTATAGCACATATATGTGCAAATTGGAACCAGATTATGATATATGTCCAGATAGCAGTTGTATCACACAATCCTAGAGTACTGCGTATTAACGAAAACGTATTAAACACAATATAAATAATCTCATATTACACCCACACATTTAATAATATAAGTATAAATTATGTATAATGTTCTTGAGGGCAACGTGTGACCTCGTGATTTGAAAGTTTAATGCACAGCGATTCACCGTGTACATTGCTTCCCTCAGTCGTGAGTGAGAATCACAGATTCGCCGCCATCAGCTTTAATCCTTTGGTCAACACTGTACTGTATTCGTGAGTTTCAATAAAGAGAAATAAAACCAACAAAATCTTTTCCGTAATCATATCTGATTTCTAAGTCAGTTGTACTTTGCCGATTATACCCTATATAAGCATGCGTTTAAATTCTTAAACGTTGGCTTCTGTGTGCACGTGCATCACGGTCTGTTCATGCATGATGCGAAATTTCATTGGGATTAGATGTTGCATTCAGATGCAACGCCACGGTTCGTTGGTTGTTTAACGTCGCACTCTGCAATATACCAGCTATATGACAGCGGTCTGTAAATAATCGAGTCTGGACCAGACAATCCAGTGATTAATACCATGAGCATCGATCCACGCAATTGGGGTCGATGACATGCATCAACCAAGTCAGCGAGTCTGACCACCCGATCCCGTTAGTCGCCTTTTACGACAAGCATAGTCACCTTTTACGGCAAGCATGGGTTGCTGAAGACCTATTCTACCCCGAATCTTCAGGGGTCGCAACGCCACCTCAACGATAGCTACATAAATGAAACCCATATCCCTCGCAATGATATTGATAAAATAATGCTAAAAGCGGCATAACGAAAACAATAAAACAAAACCATTGTGAATCTCATCCTCTCAGCAACAAGACCATGCCTTTCAGATTGGATACGATAACGAAAATCAAAACGTTTGTAAGTGTTAAAAGGGAACGTGTTAGGAGTGATTTAAGGGCTGGTAACACTCACTTTAATGATATTTCACTAATTTTGTTTTATTGGATGCCCTTCTCTTCTTTTACTTTGGTCGGGTTGAGAGTTTCCAATTCTTTTTCTTTGGTCGGGTTGAGAGTTTCGAATTTTTTCGTCTTAATGGCTATTACGAGTGCGGCGACCAAACAGACGCAGGTTACACTACGTGATACTACGAAGAACCCGTGGATTTTCTGACGAAAGTCGACGATATCGTATAATGCGCATGCTCCTCTTTCACCACATGGCGAATCCCAAATGAGGCAGGTGGAGTCTATGACGCGTCCGTATATGATTGGTCCAAGAAGGAAACCTGAAGTAATATGTAAATAAAACATCGGTATATCATGCATATTTGAACAATAAGATGGACTATACGTTTTGGAAACACATATACATGTCATCTAAGAATTAAAGATGGAAATGGCTTGGACTACTCTTGTGGTTTCAGTTATCCGTACATTAATTTTGTAATCTACAAACCTTGATATGATTTTGAAATGTGATATGATGACATTTGTTTTGAAACCACGTTTGCACATATGAGAGATTATTCACCCACGTCTTTTTCCTTCTGTTTCCAACGTACATCATCGATAAAATCTGCATAACTCACCATTTCCTAATCTTTAGATATTCCTTGATCAGAATCTACATTTTAAGATAGGACAGAATAGTATATGCAGTTCCCAAACCCTGTTGAATTTCTTACCAAACATTGATGTCATAAACGACGAAAATCCAACAGCAATCGGTTTCTCCTTCTCCGTGACGCTCCTGAAAATGAAGACCCCCATGTGAATTAAATTAAATGATAATGTAGACACCATGTAAATAAAATGAATTTAAAGTGTAGACCCCATGGCCATGTAAATTAAATTAAATGAAAATATAGAACGCATTAAAATTAAATTAAATGAAAATGTGGAATACATTAAAATTAAATTAAATGAAAATAAAGAACACATGAAAATAAGACCCCGTGTAAATTAGATTAAATTAAAATGTAGACCCCCATGGACATTTAAATGAAATATAGAACAAATTCAAAGGAAATCAATTGAAAATATACAACCCATTACAATAAAATTAAGTGCAAATATAGAACGCGTGAAAATCAAATTAAATGAAAATGTATACTCAATGTAAATGAAATTAAATGAAAATATAGAGCACATTAAAATGAAATCAAATGAATAATGTAAAACCCAAAAAACAAATTAAATGAAAACGTAGACCCAATGTAAATGAACGTCTATGAAATGTAGATCCCATGTAAATGAAAATATAGAACGCATTAAAATGGACACAAATGAAAATATAGAGCGCATTAAAATAGACAAATGAAAAATATAGAACACGTTAAAAGGATATCAGATAAAATAGAGAACACATTACAATACGATAAAATAAAAATATAGAACACATGAAAAAAATGAAAACGTAGAACATAAGCAGATTTGAATTGTTTTTGTTCTCATCTGCTTGTCAGTGGAAATGGGTTTGCGACATTTTTTTGTTTGCTCAAATAACATTGTTTACATCTAATGATGACCTCAATCAAAACGTTGTAAAAGTTTTAATTTGTTTCCCAGAAACAGTAGCTGTACGTGTCAGGTAATCAGTAAATGGGATCTCACCTGATCTTTATGATGATCTTAGGCATAATGAGCATAGTGCTGAGGAAGGCCGAGACAGCAAGGGTCACAGCGTAGGGATACAGGAAGGGACAGTCGAAGTCACAGAGACCCGGGCTCGCCTTACCACCGTTCGGTATGCACGTGCAGTTCGTATAACTCTGTGGAAGAAACAGATGCAGTGTTTCCACATCACTCTCGTTCAACGTCTCAGCTGTCTAGACAGCTACTGTACCAACATTGCCTCAACTGATACTACCAGTACGACTCTTTTCATAACTGTGTCTTCTCCTTCCAACACCTGCACCAGCACTGTTACCGCTCTGCTTCACCTTATTGAATCATCATTATCTTTTATTCATTTATGTCCCGTCAAAAAAACCAGCTTTGGACAAATGACTTTACAGTTTTTGACGGGTGCCACCCGTTGGGCAGGATACGTTCACCATTTCTCGAACAACTGGTATCGTCACTCTTTGAGAGTGATTTATAAACGCATGCTTATGATATAGTCAGGATCGTGAATAGACTCCTCAGGAGAGATTTCTTATGAATAGGGAAATGTCACTTTTTGGAGTATATATTCAATACTTCTTATAGAAACCACCATATGGATTATACTTCCAAAAAATAAGGCATTTTAGTAAGTTTGGAGTCGTGAAGACCCGGGGTAGAATATGCCTTTAGCAACCCATGATTGATGAAAAAAGCGACTATGCTTGTCGTAAGAGGCAACTAACGGTGGCCAGGCTCGCTGACTTGGTTGATGCATGTCATCGTACCCCCAATTGCGTGGGTCGATGCTCATGATATCAGTCACTGGATTGTCAGACTGCTGTCATAAAGCTGGAATATTGCTTAGTGCGAAGTTAAACAACAAACAATAAACAAACAAACACTGCATCAGTTGTAACTTCTGCTGCTTACAGCTACCCCCACCATCAACACTCCTACTGCTTATACACCTACTACAACAACAGATGGTTCTACTACACCCTTCCTGTTGGATACACTTGTTAATTGGCGGACACGAGGGGCCATTAATTGTTGGACACGAGTGGCGAAGTTGTCTGTAGTATTACTCCTTGTTTTGAAACATAGCCAGTGTTTTCTATTACCGGTCCGTTCTTGGCAAGGCATCCCGCGTGGCAGGGTGAGTAATAGTTGTTGTTGTCGGAGCCACAGATGGGGAAGTAGTCGTTGTCGTTGCAGTGGCAGGTGGAACTGTGGCAGTCGCCTTGGTCAGCCGTCGATGATACCGTCGTCCTATTTGGAAAGCGCGACGGTAACGTGAAATGTGAAATGTTGTCATTTACGAAGGGACCAACCATTTTATATTCTAGTATGGATGGGGTGTGTGATGGGGGTAATTTTTGTTCGAGACAGATTGTTTTTTCAGTCAAAGCTTCAAGAAATACAATATATTAAGCCGAACAATTATTATGACTCACAACTCGTTGTCTTTCAGGACATCCGGCAGGTCCTATGGACGGTTTTTAGGGCGTAAAAGGGTACATCTTCTCTTTGGCAAAATGTCGAAAGACGATTACAATTGATTGTATCTATATAGTTTGTTTTTTCAATTTCTTAGAGTTGATGGGATTTTTTTCGGAAAAGATTATCGATGTTTGATAAGAATGATTTAAGAGTCACCTTCTAACGTCAGTGTGGTTTGCGGTGCGATGTATTTGTGTGGTGGGGTGCAGTGTGAAGATGTGGCGTGGCGTGTTGGTATGGTGTGCTGTGGTGCGGTGTGTTGTGTTGATGTAGTGTTTTGAGGTGGGGTGGTGGGATGATTGTGGAGTTGTGCTAATTGAAAGCATTATGCTTAAGCCAATCCTTCAATAATTCGGGCGATAAATATAAACTTTGTTACTGATTACGTATTGATAAAATGCAAAAATGTCGTTCATCCATACCATCTTCTCAATGTTCACGTATAAAATAAGCTAATCTTTTTACCAATATTGTTTCACTGTTAATGGTATATATTATATGGTATATATTATATACCTTCAAGACTATTTTTATCAAATATTAGACAATATCTCTCACATTTCATATAACAAGAAATGAATCTTACTTTGTTCTCAATTAATGTATTTAAAACCTATTATTTTGAAGTTTATTATAGTTTTATGTGCGCTACTTATATCACTTTCATATTTTATTGAAATTGTACCGCGTGACGTTAAATAATAAATTCACTTACCCGGGTTGGTTCAGTATCTTTGGTTGTGGACAGCCAAACACATATCCAAGGGATACAATTATGACTGTGACAAATGTGAAGACGTTGACAAACTTCAGCCCTGTTATTGGGCTCATTTTAAACTTTTTGGTCAACCAACCGCCGACAAACGTTCCCAGTGACGCCATCGGCATACTCAGACCAGCTGGAATGAATAAATCATAGATACACTGATGAACGAAGCAGTGGAACCTGTCTAAATCATCGTCAATATAAAGTCAAACGCCGTTGTGTCGAACTCATGGTTGTCTCGAAGTAAAAGCTTGGTCTCAGCGTATTTATTCTTTATTCATCATTTTCGGTTATGCCGAACCTCGGATAACTCGAAGTATTTACGAAGGTCCCTTCGACACAACGGCTGTATATACACTTTTTCCGCTTCCTCGGTACTGAGGAACATAGTGGGCACATATACAATGAAAGACTGCGGATGAAACGCGATATGTAAGACAGAAGGAACTACGTGTAAATTCAGAATTGTAAAAACAGATTAGTGCGTCGTGCTAGAGATCGGGGCGGGCGGATAGGTAGCGGGAGGGTAGCCTAGTGGTCAGAGCGTTCGCTCGTCACGCTGAAGAGCCGGGTTCGATTACCGACATGGGTAAAATATGTGGAGCACATTTCTGGTGTGATATTGCTTGAATATTGCTAAATACGGCGTAAAACCATACTCACTCACTCACGTGTTAGAGATCACAAGTGTTTTGTATCCGAAAGATAAGATGTCTATTTCAACGAGTGAAAGACAACATTGCATCAATTTTCTACCACCTGATGACTGCATCTATGTGAAATACATGCACTAAAAGCCTATACATTGACGTCAAATTAGTTAAATTATAACAAGCAAGACATGGTTATTCGATGGTGATGTGTTTGATACGAGTATCATTGGCGATCAATAAGAATCTCACAACAGGTGATGTCCACATTCCTTCCATGGGAGTCAAAGTGCACAGCAATTTCACAGTGCACAGTAATGAATAGAGTGAAGCGTGAATTTTCACGTGTTTTCTTTCTTTTGCCCGGCTGTTTACACATAGAAATGCACTTTTTAACTATTTTCAAAATTATTCATGATTTGTTTCTTTTTAATCGAAGTCCATTCAGTTCATTTACCCTCTGTATTTTGGTATATTGAAGAAATAAAACTGGTCTGTCTGAATACGTTACCCATGAGAAGGTTGGCTTTCCATGCTGGTAGACCGAACTGGTTCTCCATGTACTTGGGCATAAAGGCGTGCGCTCCCCCAACAGAAAACAGATGACACACACTGGCTAGAACCAGCGTGGCATAGAGAGGGTTGGTCAAGATACCTACCAACACCTTTATGTAATCTGTGAATACAAAAACAGACACTGAGAGAGATGGAGAGGGCTTTCAGAGAGGCATCTTCCCGAGGCAAGAGCGTCCACTAGCCTTTGTATCAAAGTCTTGTTTCCTGTGCTAAATATGATTGGTCTATCGCACATATCGATATTCCAATCAGAGAACGTTTCACAAAATCAACATCCACGACTGGTACACCTTCGTATGAAAGTGATTTACCGCTGCCTGTCTTTGTTGACACGAATATGTCTTTTTCATCTCCTAAAGCCCCCAATTGCCTATGTTTTTGTGTCAGGGATGAAATCGCGAATGTTTTCGTGATCTGATCGACGAGGTCGTCGCCTCTGGTAGTCGCCATTTTTGTGAAGCTATATGAGATAAGAACAGCGATCTGATGGGATATCGCGTTTCCATTACAAGGGGCACAACTCGTGATCAACGCGAGGTGGCGCGAGGGTCGAGCCAAGAAAAGTGGCCTTGGTTGGGCAAGGGTAGAAACTAGGTTTGATATAGGCTAGTGGACACCCTTGCCTCGGGAAGAGGGGGTGGCGTCAGTGAAATGTCTCTGATATTTCATGGGTTCTTTTTCTTCATTTTCTCTCTTAAAATGTCAATAAGTAATATATCAAATAAGATCGGGATTAACACCTTATATTCACTCGGGACTGATTATCCGTTATTCTTCTTAGCTCGTTGGTTATTCTCTAATTATATTACGATAGATGCCTATTCGCCACCGAAGCTTCATTTGGGAAGTCGAGTCACGACCTTCTTTCTTCGCCGATTTGTCGCAGAATGCCCCTCTCTCAAGAGCTTGAAATAAGCGACCAATTAAAACGCCTTTTCTGAACGCGAACTCGTCCGAGTGTGACCTCCATGTATTTAATCGAATAAGAAAACCGATGGTTTCCTGAGTAATACGAAAGGGGAGGGTATGAAAAAATCCAGTATATATGGTTTCGTCGCTTGTTCAATCACGAAAGAATTTGATTGAATATCTATTTTCATTCTAACCGGTCTCAAAACGAAGATGGCGAATGGTCCCCGGTATTTCTGTTGTAAGAGAAAGGAGTCACGTTACACTGAACAGACAAGGATGATGTGTAGGTGTAGGAAGTAAATACTGGATATTAAGAATGACTTCACTTTCTTGGCTTTGTTGGAAGTTTCTTATTTTAATGCATATGAAGCTTTTCATTTCATCTAAATAAACTGAGGGACAAAAAATGTATACCCAAGTGTTTTTTTTATGCAGTTGAAAATTTGGATTAAATTGGATTATGTTTTGAAACAGTTTGTAAAATAGAAATCTTTGGCTGGGTAATTTTGTGGACAAAATATTGTTTCATAAAAGACTGGGGTAAGAAATTATTATACCATATTTGAAATGTTGTAAATTTGTGCCGCAAAAAAGCACATTTACTGATTTTCAAAGGTAAGATGAGTAAGATACCTATCATAAGTTGTGTATTATGCGGGGAAATTTTAAAAAAATCAAATCAAACTAAATTTTTAAAAATAAAAACATGTAGAAGTATTCCTTGAGTGCTGACAGAGCCCCAGTAGGTTGATTTTTCAAATTTAATATCATATTTTCAACTGAAAATCAAACATGTAACAAAGAGAGGTGGAGTTTCCTTTGCTCATGTCTTTATAAGTTCATGTCATTAGGGTCCATATGTGATTGTCAAAGGGGCTTGAGCATGAACGCAACAGACACTCCACCCCTGGAGCCACGAGGAACGTTCATCACTGTCATAGTGAGGACAAAGGTGCCAGTCGCCGAATTTGAAGAGCAAAATTATAGATGCTGACATTACCCATAAGATAAAAAGCGTCACTTATACGAACTTTACCTTTCGCCTCCAAAATAAGTTTGGCTGTGAGGTTATTCAGTTCCTTTTTCTTCTTCTTTAGATCGTCCAGGACATCACTGGGCGGAGCACTCTTCAGTCTGCGCGGGAAGAAGAAGAGAGACACGCTCATGATAACGGCTGCAGACCCGAACACGAGGTAGCCCAGCCACCAAGCGCCGATCCAGCGAGGGTGACGGGGGTACAGGTCTGTGTCTGAAATAGCCATTGTGTCAAGACTGGCAGAATGGAATACGTTAATCGCGAATGTGTTATGGGCTGAACAAAGAATAAATAACCCAATCGGCAGCCTGTGAACAATCAAGTCTGGAGAAGACGAATCAGGGATTGATATTATGAGCAAAGATCCATGCCGTCGGGATACGATGACATTCACTTAATCAAGTCAACGAGCCTGACAGCCGATCTTTCTTGTCACGTCTTACGACAAGCATAAGTTTCCTGGGACGTATTCTAACCCGGATTCCCAACCGGTTGTAGCGGAGGTACAAAAACGGTGACGAATGACACATCGAATTCTTTGAAATAAATTTAAAAAGGTTTAACCTTATAAAGACTTGCTAGCCTAAACATGAACAGGAAGTGTAGTGGTATGTCAGAAGTAGATCGTGGCCATGTACATACCTTCCAACGTTAACATTGCTGTGTTGGTATGTCAGAAGTAGATCGTGGCCATGTACATACCTTCCAACGTTAACATTGCTGTGTTGGTATGTCAGAAGTAGATCGTGGCCATGTACATACCTTCCAACGTTAACATTGCTGTGTTGGTATGTCAGAAGTAGATCGTGGCCATGTACATACCTTCCAACGTTAACATTGCTGTGTTGGTATGTCAGAAGTAGATCGTGGCCATGTACATACCTTCCAACGTTAACATTGTTGCGGTGGTATGTCAGAAGTAGATCGTGGCCATGTACATACCTTCCAACGTTAACATTGCTGTGTTGGTATGTCAGAAGTAGATCGTGGCCATGTACATACCTTCCAACGTTAACATTGCTGTGTTGGTATGTCAGAAGTAGATCGTGGCCATGTACATACCTTCCAACGTTAACATTGCTGTGTTGGTATGTCAGAAGTAGATCGTGGCCATGTACATACCTTCCAACGTTAACATTGCTGTGTTGGTATGTCAGAAGTAGATCGTGGCCATGTACATACCTTCCAACGTTAACATTGCTGTGTTGGTATGTCAGAAGTAGATCGTGGCCATGTACATACCTTCCAACGTTAACATTGCTGTGTTGGTATGTCAGAAGTAGATCGTGGCCATGTACATACCTTCCAACGTTAACATTGCTGTGTTGGTATGTCAGAAGTAGATCGTGGCCATGTACATACCTTCCAACGTTACCATTGCTGTGTTGGTATGTCAGAAGTAGATCGTGGCCATGTACATACCTTCCAACGTTAACATTGTTGTGTTGGTATGTCAGAAGTAGATCGTGGCCATGTACATACCTTCCAACGTTAACATTGCTGTGTTGGTATGTCAGAAGTAGATCGTGGCCATGTACATACCTTCCAACGTTAACATTGCTTTGTTGGTATGTCAGAAGTAGATCGTGGCCATGTACATACCTTCCAACGTTAACATTGATGTGGTGGTATGTCAGAAGTAGATTGTGGCCATCTACAAACCTTCCAACGTTAACATTGTTGTGGTGGTATGTCAGAAGTAGATCGAGGCCATGTACAAACCTTCCAACGTTAACATTGTTGCGGTGGTATGTCAGAAGTAGATCGTGGCCATGTACATACCTTCCAACGTTAACATTGCTGTGGTGGTATGTCAGAAGTAGATTGTGGCCATCTACAAACCTTCCAACGTTAACATTGCTGTGGTGGTATGTCAGAAGTAGATCGTGGCTATGTACATACCTTCCAACGTTACATATATTCTGGTGAAGTAGCTGCCGAGGCTGAAGGCAATGGCTGGTCCGAATATGCTCATGCTGATGATGATGCCTGAAAGAAAGGGGAAGAGTTTATCCCACGTAAAGGAATCTGAGGTTAAAAAAGTAACATACATATATATATTCTAGTATGCAGAAGAATAGGAATGAATTAAGCCCTTTATGCAAAAAATAATATTGTCAAGTTATATGCTGGTACGATTCATAACACAGACAGTATTGGATTCATATTATTGTCAGGGCCCAAATTTGCAAAGTACATGTATATTTATTCTGATACTAATTATAGACGTAGTGTTAGATCCCCATGTGACTCAATAGCTAACGTACTCTGGCAGTTAGAGATAAATATGATAATGAAACTACTCTACCCATATAATATCCTGTTTTGGACTTTTCCACATTTCCATCAACATATGTGATCGTAAACGCGTTTCTTGGGGCCTTTGCTACGCCTTGTAGAGCCATCCCGATGACGATGATCCCAAGCGCCGCAGCTGCATGATCACGTGGACTCCTTGACAACACTTCCGGTTTATCAGGAGAGTCTGATTCTTCACAAAAATTCATAAGTGAGTCATTTGCTAACGAACACAGGTCATACGCTCGTGACTGAGACGTCACATTACTAACTACGTATTCCTCATTAGGTGACTGCTCCGTTCCAAACAGGAAGTGAGGTAAGCAGCATATCAGACCGGAAATGCCAAAAAGCATGACACTTGCAGACATTACTCTGGGAATATGAGATCGGTGGGCAAAGTGGGCAACAAAAACGACAATAAGCATATAGCCAATGTCGTTACTGGCCATTATTATTCCAGTTTCGGAACTAGTAAAGCCGAACTGTCGCTCCAGTGTGGTGACTTGGGAATTGACGTATGCCAACAACGTTGATGACAGAAGGCTTGTTATGCTGCAGAAGCCAGTGAAGGCGGTAATGTTGGCAAACACCTGAAAGGCGCGTGGCTTGCACGATCCTATCCCGCACTGGGTCTCTGGGTCGTCTTCCTCCACCAAAACAAGATGGCCGGCATTGGTCTTCTGATTTTCCTGGCCCTCCAAAAGGGATATCTCATTGTCCTTCCCTTCCGACATGTTGCCGTATCAGTCAGAAATCTGTGGAAATATGACAGTAGTACGTGAATGGTTGCCGAGACATTACTGACATATCGCAACGTAAAACATATTCACACACTTACGACATCCAAAGGTAAAGCAATGTCCGGACCAAACAGGTTTTCGAAGTAACAAGGTCCCGACAAACAAAGTTCAAGGGGCTGCAAGGTCCACTATGTACTTTAGTTTTGAATTTACATAGTGTCCACTTCGCAGTGTCAGACGTGTGATATAGTGATGGTCTAGCAGGTAACGTATTAATGCCTAATCATGATTATGTGTGTATTTGCATACCAAGATTGGAGAGCATTGTGTCTGGGGTGTTGTTAAATTGGGAAGAAAATGAGGTCACGGGAGGCCCCTGGATAAAACGATGTCTTCATTGATGTCCTGGTGGGGTGCCGTTGTACCCCCAATCGTCTATACTAGTAGTAGTATAGACACTGGGGGGTACAGCATCACCCCCAACCTGGACCAGGTCCAGGCCCTGAAAATGCTTTGTGTGTTGTGTTGTGTGGGTGAGAGAGTTGTGTGGGTGAGAGAGTTGTGTGTGTGCACGCTGTATGTGCGTGAGTGCTGTGTGGGTGTACATGCTGTGTGAGCGTGTGCTTGCATTCTTTTGCGCAGTTTGCAGGAGAAAGGAGGCACAGGCATCGTCGTTGTTGCAGAATGCCTCCTCAGCCTGCCTATAAATAGAGGGCTTGTACCTGCAGTGTTTGATGTGTTTGCAGAAACTGAACAACTCGAGCAGTTACTGCTGAACAACTGCTGGAAAAATGATATTCTGGGTTTTGGTGACCATTGAGCTTCCTGGCCAGATTTTGTTCGCCCTGTGTAAAGTGGCCTTTAATAAAAATGCATATATTCTCATCAATACATCGCTTTGTATCTAAGGGGGAGAATGATGTCCTATTCTCTTATTCATTTTAAATCCATATATCGTGTGCTCATCACTTAAAGTATTCATCTCATGTTTGAATGTTCTTCTGGCATCATGATATTAATTTATGTGGACTGATCCCGTTCGTCGTTTTCCCTGGCAACATAATTAGCCAGCAGTTCCTTCAGATCCGCTATCTCCCTTTTGTTAAGGGGGGGGGGGGGTTGATCCCGTACTCCCATTGTCTATACCACTTGCTTCTTGTCTTACAGTCTTGTTTTGTCACTCTGAATCTGTATGCATAGGTCTAAATATGAAACAGATGAGGTTATCTGCTCTCTATTATTTCAAGGGGAGGTGGTTGGGGCCTCCAAGCAGCACGGCTTCTGGCTTTAGAATCATACGAGTGTTCATTTGTCCTTTGCACCAATGTTGGAAGCTTGAATAACAATAAATAAGAGGGAGAAATCATATTTCCAAAACCACAAGAAATCTGTACTGAAAGTAGTACGATTCTAACTATATCATAAGCATGTGTGTATGAATCACAATCAAATAGTTTAGAAAAATGCACACAAATTCTCCTTGCTGATGCCATCTTACATAAACAATGTTTCCTAGGGATCTTATGTCGTTTGTCGTAAGGATCCTATGCAAAATTTGTGTTGGAAATTTCTAAATTTATTATCTGTTTACAAGTTTCGTTAATTTCTAACAACATCGAGAGATACTTGGTTGTTAATGGTAAGCCAAGCTTCCGGTATATTGATTATCTGATATCGATCAATAACGGTCAAATAGACAATTCTCTTCCACTGATGTACTCATATTATATCCATTCATTGTGTACATCCTATCATTCTATATCAATGATCAGCATTATATGCATCTCGCAATAGGCGACTAAATGGAGCGAGTCGTCAGGTTCAGTGACTTGGATGATTGTATGTCATCGTATCCCAATAGCATGGGTCGATTGTATCAATCACTGGATTGCCTGGCCCAGACTAATATTTACAGATCGACGTCATGCAGCTGGAATTTTGTGGCGTTAAACAACATAGAAAACATCATTCACTCTAAAAGAACAATATGTTGTTTACCTGGGAAACAATGCAGCGAGGAGAACGCAGATGATCCTCTAAGCCGATTATATTCAGACTGACGGTTTATAGGCGTACTTACCTGTAAACGGTACAGGGTCATGTGACATCTAGTTAGAACTACTGACTACGTGACAAAGAAATAATTACTCGTGGCCATTTTGACATGCGTATCGTACCTGTGCTGCAGCATGTGGTGATAGAGTGGACTGATCAATTTATTTAGAGAGAAAACCTCTTCGATATATGCAAGAGAACGTCAAAGATGAAAACTTAAGTGATCAAGGAAATCTTAATTGGGTCACTTGTCATGATTTCAGCACGATGCGTATTCCTCTATTGTTTTATCTGTCAAGTGCGTAGCAAGTATCAATTCAGTTTATAGTAAACTGCCGGGCAAAAACAGGTATACGCCTATGTTTGATGGTGACTAAAAATGAAACAAACAAGAAATGGTTATTCGATTGTGGTGTATTTGATACGGGTATCATAGTTGTGTTTTGGACCTAACGTTTGCAGTGTTTCCACGACTGTCTTCAGCCAAGTCCCGACTTGATAACGTTTGTATTTTTGGGGTCTAATCCAATTTTCAGGTGTATTCTTTCTTTTGTCCGGTAGTTTATAATGCCTGTCCCAACTGAATGTGGTATCACATGCAGAAGAAGACTGCACTAACTAGGTGGGGAATCGAACCCGCTCCAACGGCTGATCTTGAAAAACATCACTTGAAATTCAATGTACAAAGAAACGACCGCCTCCGTGGTCTACTGGTAGAGAGCGGAAGGTCGGGGGTTCGATCCCCGGTCGCGTCATACCAAAGGACGTTAAAAGATGGTACTTCATGTTACCCTTCCTGGCGCTCGGCATTAAGGGGCTTAAACAAGGACTGGTCGGCTCGAAGTGTTTGTGTGGGGTATTCATGTTTAACTGTGACATGCTATATCAATCTAAAACAACACACACACACACACACACACACACACACACACACACACACACACACACACACACACACACACACCGCAAAATGCCTTCATCCACATTGTACCCACCCATATTGAGAAATCAAACCCGGATTTCCAACTCTTAAACCAGGCGAGGTAATCAACATACCCGGCACAATTTGCCTTCTTTCCCGGTCTTCATATCACCGACAAAATTAATGTTCTCTGTGTGTGACATTTAAATTATAGTGACATATTATATTTATGGTATTATCAATTAATTGCCGTTTTGCCGTCACCCAACTGACATTGCTTTCATATACTAATAACTCACCAAGTTGTTTTCTCAAGGAAAAGTCTGAACATTAATGTGTCAATGTGTAAAAAGAGGCCGACCATTTGATATTCATATTGTTACTGCCACAAAAATTACATTGCTGAAATGTGTGGGGCTTTTTAGAAACAAATATTATGGCGCATAGTTTTAATGAAATTGAATAGTTTAAAAAAATATCTGGTTTTGCAGCTGTAGCTGAAAAGATATCTGGTGTGGATACAAAATCCCAGCCCACCACCCCACCTCCACACCCCACCACACCACAACCCACTCCACCCCACCCCACCCCACCACACCTTACCTCCACACCCCACCACACCACACCTCACCTCACCTCCACACCCCACACCATCCCACCCCACACCCCAAACCACCCCAACACACCACACCTCACCCCACACCACCCCACCCCGACACCCAACCACACCACACCTCACCCCACACCACCCCACCACACCACACCTCACCCCACACCCACACCCCACCACACCACACCTCACCACACCACACCCCACACAACCCCACCACACCCCACACCCACACCACACCACACCACACCTCACCCAACCACACCCCACCCCACCACACCTCCCGAATATCAAATGGTCTGTCCCTAATCCAATACTTTAGACGTCGCGCGAACCGTTGACTAAATCAGTTATATGAGTCTTAGGCTATTATTTTCCAACCTATGTTAATATTTGCTTTAATGGTGAAAAATACCATGTTAGAACTAGAGACACCGGAGAACGCTTGACAGTTTTTTTTCCATTTGTTAGAAAGGCATACACAAAACCTCCTGTTTCTTCACTGGAGGGTATTTCAGGGAAACACATGGCACAACTATATACTCCAAGGTGGTTTTATTTGAAGCAAGACATACATATAACGGTATAAACATTGTTTAACATTGGGAAAACATATTATTTTTGAGACATGCTGAAAAATGTACATGTTTTACATATTATATTTTTTAATATCATATAAATATTTTCCTTTTTTTGTGGAAAGAAATACAACCCGTAATAGAACACTTAAAGTAAGTTACATAAATCTAAAACTGTATTTATATTATTTTGTTATTCTTTTCATAGTGTCAAATTGAATCAGGTAAATGTATATTCAGTAATGGTTTACCATGCCGCACACTAACCCCATTTTCTCATTTACCAGAGCTACACACGACATAAACCCATAAAGTGTTTCACAAAAGAATACCATTGGTATTATCTATATCATGCTTGGTTCTATCTGTAAGGATCTTTGTCCAAATCCTGAAACTGAATTCATCCAGAGGCGAAACAGACTGACCCAAGCAACATTTCAAGAGATGCCTACACTGCTTGAACACAAATAGCATCCGTCGCGTAACCCTTGGATGTCCATATCATCAGATGCTAAATGTCGCCGGTACCTCATTTTCTTCGGGTTAATTAATCCTCACTTTACATATACCATAGTAGGATCACAACAGAAAAGATTCATCTCCTCTTTAACAGAGATTCAAGATTTACACATGTTAACATAGTCAAATCTCAGTGATACTATAAAGACATAGCTTACATATACATTGTACATTTATCACGTGGAACTTCAGACGGATCAATCATCCAAATCTGAAAGTTCAAGTTGAAAGTATCCTTTCACAATTCCTATGCTACAAACATATGCTAACTGCTTACCTACATTCATATGTAGGTATCCTCAAACGAACACAAGCATTCATGTTTCCTTGTGTAGGGGACAAAACTCGTGTTACAATTTCCTTCTCTTGGGTTGTCTTTTCACAAGTGATGAAGATACCTTAAATATTCTGTTTCAATATATCGATCTCATCAACAAAAAGGTGGACCATTTCCTCATCTGTACAGGAAAACTAAAATTAACGAGTATGTCTTTCACAAGATCTCAAGATAGCGTAATTGTTGAATATCAGCCTAGCACAAAGTAA